AAAAAATGTGTAAAATATTTATTTTTACAGCGATATCAAATTCATTGATCACCGGGCCACATAAAAACGCCCACCATACACTTTGGGGTAGCAGAGATATAAACGGTAAGTATATCTCCTAATTATATAAAGCAAATAAAAGTTCTAAAGCCGCGAAGGTTTTTTAAACGATTTTGAATTAAAATTTGTATTATGGCTTTCACATTTCGTGCCTAAAAATAAAGTACAGTTTTTCATCGCGATTCTTTAGTTTTTATGAGCTCTATTTTTTCGTACCTATGATTCTAGAAATATGTAATGATTTAATATTCAGAATATCAATATGCATGTTACAACCAATTTTAAATATATTTCTCTTTATTTTCAGAATTTTTTAATAATTACATTCGGACCGAAACTAAAACCGACAGACGAAATCAGGACAAAATTACAAAACACATGGCTTGCTGCAATGATTCTATTTGTGGCATTACTAGCGGTGAAAGAAGGAAGCAGGATGCGGCACATAACGAATGTGTTAAAATTCGACGAAAATTATATGATGCTGGTGTTGCAGACGATTGCTGCAGCACTTGCTCGCATTGTTCCAATTGTTCCTGCCAAAATGCAGATGCCACCAGTTGCAGTAGCATCGATGACTTGGATGCTGATGATAACGACGAGGAGGGACGAATGGCACCACACGAGCTGGTGGTGTCGGCAGAATGTCACCGCTGTAATTTGCGCCGAAGGTCCACAATATCAACGGGAGAAGAGCCAGAAGAGGAAGCTCAGACAGATGACAAATTAACAGCGGCCAGCATTGGCAAACAGGTCGCACAAGAAAAAGAAAATACTACCACAGAAAGTTCAACGCATACTAGCCGAAGAAGCAGTGCAAGTTTCTGCTCCTGCCATTCGAGCACTTGCTGTTGCTGCGAATGCGACTGTGCGGACGAAGCTGGCGATGATGACTGTGAGAGTGCTACAACTGGGCAAATGCACACCGCTAGGGACACTTCGTGTACGGCTTTAACATCTGCGGCAGATTTCGATGCAGAACATTCAAGTACCCTGACGCCTTTGACAAATGCATCGTCAATTGCGTCAACGCCAAACGCTGAAGATGCAGATGTAACACTGCGCAGTTTCAACAACACATTAACAGAGGACATAGGTTCATCACTTAGTCAATCCGCAGAATATTTCTCACTTTCTTCTGGTAATCACCAAAGCCAAAAGTCACCCACAGAAACACCAACGCGAAGGAAACTGAAAATTCCTGGCGAAATTAATCCAGCTGAATCGGTATCGAAATCAACCAATGTTCCAGCGTCTAGTAGGAAGCCCTGCAAGCATTACATCAAACATCATCGTCATAAACGGGACACATCTCCATTGGATAGCTACTTATGACGAAGTGTTTCGCTGGTCGCGTGGCCAGCGATCGATGTGAACTCGCTACTTCAGCAGACGATACGGAAAACAGCCGTTCTCCACGAGCCTGCAATGGTGCAACAAACGCAATCACATGGTAAACAATCAAGCAACAAAACTCATCAAATCAATTTTTAAATAAAAGCAATACCCTTCTGTTTCAGAACTACAGCAGCAATCCGGGACACGACATGGGAGCAATGATAGTTCGACCGCCACGCTGACACCATCAATTACAACAATCATCAAATACCCACCAATGAATAGCACAGCCAATAGCGCTTGTAGCGTCTCAGGCACACCACAACAGATGTCATTGCATTCGCTTAATGCCGTTACGACGGTAACTACTATTTGTGGCAGCAACGGTGCTTCTGTGGTAACTACCGCCTCAGCACCATGTAGTGGTCGTGCAAAACGCACTTCCAAATTTGCGCCTGCATCCTCGGATGCATTCAGCTGTGACCCCATGCTTTTTGGGCAGGAGCGACGATCAACTGAAATAATCTTATAGCCACGTGGCAATAATGGAAGCTGCAAACTGAGGGCTAGGGGCTAGAGTGCCATATTTATGTATTTTACATAAATTTAACGGTATGGAAACGCTAATACTCGGATGGCTGCACCTCCCAATTAAAAATGTGTTATTCATTTTGATGTTTTTATTTTGTCGTGCTGCTATGCTTTCTCTAGTCACTGTTTACCTATTTTAATTGGGTTGAATCCGAATTTTATGATTTGATAGCATGATATTTAGTAAGAGTTCAAACGCAACTTCGTGTTTATCATAAAATTGGTTGATAATTTCCGATCTACAGCATAAAGACTGTTTAACGTAAAATTATTTTAGATCACTACGCCCTTGCGCTTTTGGTTACTTGATCTGAGATTGCCATAAGTCAATATACATATGCGCATGCTAAATATTTTCCTCTCGCCTAATATTTGCAGGTATTATAGATTGATTATTTATGAGTGCTGAAAACCCTACGGTTTTCATATTGTGTGAATACGATTAGATACAAAAATATCTCGAGACTTGGAGAGTTGAAGTTTGTTGTTTCTCGGGGGTTAAATTGTAATTTATTTAAATTATGTAACTACGTATTTGTAAATTAATGTAAAGCAAATATTTAAGAATGTATGAAAATAGCAATTTTTTTATTAATAAAAGTAGTTTTAGATCGAAATTATGTAAGTGTTATGCATTCTAATAAAAATTTACAACTTACCTATATTTGCATATATATATTTTGTTTTGAATAAGAAATTTTTTATAATTTCCTAGAAATTTAATTTAGGCGTAACGGCCGGATAAGATCGTAATTGCAGTATCTATTTGTATGATCAAGCGAAAATCCTTGGTCACATATAAATCAGGGCTGTTTTGGTTAGGTATACTCACAATTGCATATAACGAAAGCGTGCCTGTGTTCAGAAATGCCGGTGTATTCGTGCTGCAATTAATGCGGCAACGTTACTTTTTACGGAAGAGCATCAAGAAAGCAACGTGGATGCAGTATTGCAGTAATTGGGTGTGTTCAGAAATGCATCAGGCCGAAGCATCAGTCTATTTTACTTCTGAACTATTATTGATGGAAATACCGTATTTATGCAACTAAGTTCCAATTAGGTATTTAAGCGTGGTTGCGCATATTGGACATTTCCATCAATTATAGTTCAGTAAAATGAGTGATGATTTGGCTTGATGCATTTCTGAACACGCCCATTATTACTTAGATCGAACGCACTCTGCCTCAAGCCAAAGCATCAGTCTCTTATTTGTAAACTATAATTGATGGAAATGCCTTATTCGGCATTTAACCATCGCTGCGCATATGGATGTCCCCATAATTTATAATTTAAAAATAAAAGACACTGATGCATTGGCTTGATGCATTTCTGAACACGGGTCGTATTCTGTCCTCAATCGATTCTGCCCGTTTTACAAATGGGGCTTGTTCGAGTTGCAATCACAACCTCAGTGTTGCGCAAACCATTAAATAAAGTTCGTTGTGAATTTCTACCAACTTTTAATCAGTTGGGGAGTTGCAACAGTGTTCTAAATTTTCATCAGTGCCGCTTTTATTACGTGCCTCGAACAGGCCCATGCTTATCCATTTTGGATTCAGCTTCTTACGACATGGGTGTGTTCAGAAATGCATCAAGCCAAAGCATCAGACGCTTTTATTTCTAAACTATAATTGATGGAAATGTCCAATATGCTCACCTACGGTTAAATGCCCAGTTGGAACGTAATTGCGTAAATAAGGTATTTCCATTAGTTGTAGTTTAGAAGTAAAAGAGACTGATGCTTTAGCTTGATGCATTAGCTTTATAAAAAGTTTATAAATTGAAAAATGTATGAAAACGTCAATTTATAAAGCTCTTTAAACCTACTTTATTTTTTATGAATAAGGCCATAAGTATTTAAAAAAATTTGTTTGCATTTACGGAAAAGTTTTTAATCGAATAGCTACAGCAATATGTTTTGTTTATTCTGTTATAATACTGCATTTACGAACAAACTTTATCGTACGTGTTGTCTATAGACATTTCATTTTCGCTCGATAGCAAAATTTACTCTTTATTTCGCAGAAAAGGCAATAATTTAATGTTATCTAGTTTAATTTTAATAGTTAGAGAAAAACTTTTTAATTATGTAGATAATTCTGTATATGTTGTAGAATTTGTTAATCCCATGCAGAATGTCTGAATAAAAAAATGCAAAATTGGTATATTAAACTAATTGTGGTGCTTTTATTTTTTTTTTTTAATTTCAAGTCTTAGATGAGCAGTATATGCATGCATGTTGGAATATCAAGAATTAGTAATGGTAGTTCTTCCATTTTTTAGATTTTTGTGTGTGATGATTTTGTGTATTATTTTTTAATGCAAAAGATTAGTTCAAGGTTTCGGAAAGCATATCAATTCGATGCGTTGAGCATGATTTGATGGTATGAATAAATTAACCAACATGTACTTTGTTTTTAGTTGTAACCATTTGAATGAACACAAACAAATAATTTGCCTTTTAATGTTACATTAATATTTTAGTTGTACTTATTCGTG